CAAAGTTTTTTTAAAAAAAAAACTTTCTTTGCCGAGCGCCAGATCTGAGACGCTCGGCAAAGAATTTTAAAAAAAATTAAATCTTTGCCGAGTGACAGATCTGGGGCACTCGGCAAAGAATTTAAAAAAAATCAAATCTTTGCCGAGCGCCTAACAGCAAGCGCTCGGTAAAGAAGGCCATGACCGAACACCGTTTCGCGGGTAGCCTATGCTGAGTGTAGAGATTTTGCCAAGAGTCTGACACTCGGTAAAGAAGTCCTTTGCCGAGTGCCCGTGTTTGCCGAGGGCCCGACGCTCGGCAAAGAAATCTTTGCCGAGTGCAATTCTTTGCCGAGTGCCCAATTTTTGACACTCGGCAAAGAATTATGCACTCGGCAAAGTCTCTGTTTCCAGTAGTGACTCTACCCCTGGCACCTTTAGAGCCTACAACAGATGACGATGCCTAACTGAATCCTAAAAAAATAGTCCGATGGGTAAGAGCTGCCATAGCCTATATATTATGCTTGGGACTAATCTGATAGTAAAAAAAACTCGATGCATGCTTATTGACTCAGGTGGTTAGGGGTGTTTGTAACCACTAGGCTATTGACCGTTTGCAATGTACCAATACTAAGATTTATAGTTTTTTATTGATTGTATAGGTATTACATGAACTTTTACTATTGGTCTCCTAATAAGATTCTAATCGCCATGACCGTATGCCGGGTTTTCCTTATCGGCCGAAATTTCTAAAATTTCCGTTCTATTTGTGGGGTCCGATAAAATTAGATATCGACCAATTTTTTACGTTTTTCTTGCTCCCACGCAGGCAGCCCAAATTCACTCGTGCAATGGTACAATAGCGCATATAGCTCCTCCTGGCCCATCAAAATCCTAGAAACCCAACTCTTATCCCAATCATTCCCGTCGCACAGGACACTTCCATGCTCATGGCAACGCTGCCGCCATAGCCACAATTCTGCACTCATAATGTTTATTTTTGTTTTTATATGTGAACAAGTGATCTTTAATAGCTTAGGAATAGTTTCAAGTCAAATTCTCTGATTTTTTTTTCAAAACAATTTGATTTTTTTTTAAATTTGGTCTGATATTTCTGATATATCCCGCTTATCGTATTCATTCATTCATGACCTCTGATGAATTTTTATCATGTCATCCAGGGAGACGGCGAAGATGGTGAAATGGTGATCTAGGTAATATATTCCATGTTCATCTGTGCTGTCTCAACTCTCAACTGAAAACTATAGGGGACCTTCTGTAATAAAGAATAAACCTGTGTTTTTCTTGTTTTAGCAAGGACAAAGGTTGTTGATGCGATATTCTTTCCTTGAAGACGGGCATTGTCGCCTCTTTAACTTTATACTAGGTTCGTGCCCGTGTGTTGCTACGGGGCAGCTAAACTTTTATACTAAAAACACCCGGACCGACGTTAAGGTGACATTTAATCCAAAACGCAAATTTTGTGAAATTAACAGTCACAAAAAGCACGGCGTCGCAGGCTCATAAACTCTACTGTGTAGACCTAAAAATATAGATAGACTTTGAAAATGTACAACCAATGCAACTATTATTCAAGAAACTCTTTGCTGGTCACCAGGAAGTTCAAAAAACTTTGAAAATGCAGAACCGATGCAACTGTTATACAGGAACTCTTTGCAACTCTTAAGGTCATCAGTTGATTGAACTTTCAGTGTTCAGCTTACAGCTCGAGATAAATTCTCCATGAAGTATAGAATCAACTAACATACATGATACTCTAATAATCAATCCTTTAGTCTTCCACACATGAGTATCCTTTGTTTTGATGATGGTTGGCCTCCATCACCGATCCATGTAGCTCTGGGCGGTGTGAACTCACTTGCTCCGGCGACAAAGGAGATGAACTCGGAGGCGCACTCCTACTGGTAACTTCACTGTGGTAAAAAAAACTAAAATACTACACAGCTACATGATTAATATTTTAAAAAGGGGTAACGTCCTTGTGGTAAAAAAACTACAACAATGGCAATGGAGATTATTAACTCAATAATGAGAGCCGAGGACCGATTTGCACACGTGTAATCATATGCATATTCCTGAAATCCCATTTTTATTTTTATCCATGCAAATTGCTAATATTCAGAACAGAAACAAATATGTAAGCTTCATTAGGCACCTCCTTCGTGGTCAAATGCACCTTTGATTTTTTTTTTCTAGCTCACTGGCCGTAGAGAACAGAGAACCGAAGTGTAAGTGAAAACCCACAAGTCAACCTGTAATGTTAATAGAGACTGAAACTATTGAGTTACCTGGGAAACAAATGGGTTGTAGAGAGACTTAGTAATTCAAAGATGATCGAAATTTCAGGAATTTATGACGAGAGAAGTACCTACATTGTATACAAACTTAGTGCACCAGAGAAATAATAACAAAATACAAACTTAGTGCACCAGAGAAATCCAGACAATGACCTTTTGAAGCTTGTTGCACTGCATAGCGAAGTTAGAAAATCTTAAAGTGAGATCGTCTCAACCTGCACCAAATATAAATTCCATATCAGTTAACTGAAAAGGAAAATAATCACCAGAATACAAGGAGAAATAAAGTGTGGCTGATTTCTTAATGGTGAGGAATAGATTGTCAAAATTGTGTGTCAGTACCATGAGAGACCTTTCCTTCGAATTATATACTAATCTCACCCAAACATTTAGTGAGCACACAAAATGAGGACCCTGGAGCCTACTAAGCATGATAGTTTGCTGAAGAAATCTTCCAAGATATATGCAGAGCTTTCAAAATTTAAACATACAAAGTTGCTCATCGTAGAATGAAACTATAAGGCACAGAAGTTGCTCATGGTAGAATCTAGCTATTCACAAAAACTCAGAGAAGCAATGTCAATACAAAAGTGCAGGTCCAAATCTGTTCACTAAAAATGCTCACTGAAAATATACTTTTATTAGGCATTTTATGGTAGTGAACTAAAGACACTGCAATTCTCACTCTTTCCACAAATTTACAATACCAACTTGCTTCAGTCATTCAATCTTCCACATAACAGGTAGGAATGACGCCTTATGTCGTTTACGCGGATGAGCCCCGCACTGTCTAAAGCGCATCATGCTAGGAAGCAAACTGACAAGTTCAGTACCCAGTTTCAGTCTATGTTTTGTATTATGGAACTCCAAACAGCTCTACACTCTCTAGCTGATTGTTGAAATTAGAAAAGCTAACATGAGCTACATGGGTCATGTATACAATTGACGTGAGTCAAAAGGTTAAGATGATACAATGAAACTGATATAACTGAAACCCGAACATCTATCTATGCCAGGCAAAATCACTTAAAGTTACATGCCAAAGAGAATGTGTTTTATAGGCAATCCAAAGTTGTATATATTCCTAACAATTGCATAGGGCAAAGAAACCTAAGCACTGAAAGCTAATGCTCATGATTTTTTTAATGTATACAGTTTCAAAAGCATAACTCCACCTTCCTCTCTCAGAGCAAACTGCATATATGTATTTTATTATCAGTTTTGACTGTACACAATGCCTCTTGTAGAGCATATTTATCAAAGTATTTTTACACAACTAATGCATTAGATCTATCACACATGAGATCAATCACGAATAAAAAATCAGCTATAACCTTCATAGGACTGAAAATGATACATTGTGTCATTAAATGTGAAACTTTAACCGAAGCTTTGTTCATAAAAGGTGCGTGGCATTCATTAATTGATCAAAAATTCTCAGATAATCACATAAGAATTCTCAGATAATGGCACAAGAACTTAAGAGGATCAGAAGACCTGCATATGCAATCTGCACTATGAAGTAATATCGGCGAAAAGGATGAAATTGCCACAACTGTGTATGGAGGAATATCATATCCTTGAATTTCTGACATACTTCTTTCTGAATTCATGCCTAAACAACAAACATTTAAACAAGACACATCTGCATACCCTTGGAAAGAATGCAATCGATCAATGCAATAATCCAGAAAAATTAATAGCAGCGCAGATAAATCCTGGAGAACCTGCACGACAGAGAGGAGGATGGAGAGCTACCTGGAGATGTGGTTTGGGGGCTTGCAAGCCAAGAACTCATGCAAAGGAGGCTCTGTCGCTGGCGTTGCTTCTGCAGCGTCGTCAAGAACCCTAAGCGCTGCTTCCGCTTCACCACCGACCTCAGAAGCGTAGCGAGATGGAGGCCACGAAGAACGCACCACGTGCGTCCTCCACTACCGCCGCTAAGTTCCACCGGGATCCGCGGCAAGGAAGGCCGTGGGATTTGGACCTAGGCGAGGAGCGATGGGGATGGTGTTGCGGCGGTGACACGGGGTGCAGGGAGCGGGGATGGGTAGCGGCAACGTACGTGGCCGTAGGGAGCGGGGATGGCGAGCGGCGACGTACGCGGGCGAGCGAGCGACCACGGGGATGGGGAGCAGCTGTGTACGCGGCCGCAGGGAGCTGGGACGGGGAGCTCAGGGATGGTCGCAGGGACGGGGAGCTCAGGGAGTGGATGCGGGCGCAGGGATGGGTATGGCGTGATTGATGGGTGGTCGCAGCGCGTGATTGGGGGAGCGCAGGGAGATGGTCGCAACACGTGATTGGCGGAGCGGAAGGGAGGGAGCGAGCGTCGCACGCTAGGCTGAGACCGACGTAACAATGTTTTTGTCGCAAGGGACGGGCTTAGGAGAGCAAGGGGTGTGGGGTCACAGCAGGCAAGACGATGGACCCACGTTGGAATGTCGCACCAAAAAGTGTCTATGTTTTATTCTTTTTAGTTGGAGGATGTAGGAGATTGTCGTCATTATTAAGAATGCTGCGGTGACAGGCAAGACACTGGGCGCCTCATCAGTATATATATAGTACATAGAAATGCGTTGTGCATTAGGCAATCCTCTCCATCCATCATTTCATCATCATCTCCAAGCCAATATATATAATTCCAACAAGCTGTTCATCATGAATACGACTGCAATATATAATTCCAACAAGCAGTCTATGAACATGACTGCAATATTTAGTAGTGAGCTTGGCAAACCAGAAATCAGAGCCACCATTCTTCTTGCAGTGGTCGCCTTCCATGGCCCACTGCTGCTGGTGCTCAGCTCGCGGCAGCGACGCAGCGGCAATCCGGTGGGCTGCTTCTTGCTCTGGAGCCTGTCGGCGGCCTACTTCCCGCTGATGACGTCCGTCCTGTCCTACCTGACCACCTACATCCCGCGCGCGGGCGGCAATGCCACGGCCGTACTCGTGCTGGTCATCCTCGTCCAGTTCCTCAGGGCCAAGGTCGACATGGCGGCCTTGGCCGTGGCTGCGGTGGCCTCGCCCGCGGCGGGCAACGACGACGTCCACAGCCTCAAGATCCGGCCGTCCACGGAGAGCTTCATCAACACGTTCTGGGTGGCTGCGCTTGTCATCTACAACATATTCAGCACCATCCTGAAGCATTCGACGTCCACGCACAAACGCCTCTTGTTGCTAGTCGTGACGGTGCTGATCTCGCCGCTGTGGACACTTGGTGCATGAAGGATGGTGCTCAGGTTCGCCGCCTTCCAGAGGGCGACGGGCTCCTTCGCGCTCGGCCGCAACGTGCAGCTCATCGAGGGCTACATGCTGCAGCTCCGGGAAAAAGACAAGAGCGAGATGGCGGCGGACCAGCCCCAGCAGCTCCTTGCAGTACCCCGTCTCATCGTGACGGGGGAAAGGAACCATGACGTGGAAGAGGGCCCGCAAGGGTACCATGTCAAGCGTTCGTCACTGCAAGGTGGTGAAGGGAGCAGTAGGCTGCTCACGTTGGACCGTGTCTGGTCATCAGACAGTGTTCAGCCAGTCGACAAGGATCTCTGCCTATCCTTTGCACTATTCAAGTGCCTGCGCAGGCGGTTCGCCGGTTACCCGCTCACCGCCGAGGCCGGCTCTAGCTGGGCGTTCCGTTTCGTCTGCAACGGGCTGCTGCTCGGCCGGGGCGAAAACAAAGACGACGACCACAAGAGGGTCTTCAGGGTGATCGCCACCGAGCTCTCGTTCGTGAGTGACTTCTTCCACTCGGCTCTCCCCGTGGCCTCCTTGGGCACCTCGGCCGTGGCTCTCCACTTCCTCCTCTCCCTCATCATCTTCCCCTCGTTTCTCTTGCTAGCGCTGGCCCTCCTGGTCTACCCAAAAGTAGTACGCTCCTCCTCCTACTTGTACTACAGGAACCCTTTGGTGCTGCTTGAGCTTCTGCTGACGCTGGTGAATGCCCACCTCGAGATCTGGGACATGGTCGCTAGTGTGCGCTCGAACTGGACCAAGATCAGCATAATTGGGCACATCGTTCGGTCCCCACACCCCTGCACCAGTAGGTTCTTGGCCTGGCTGCTCAGACGATGCAAGACCCCAGAGTTTTGGCAAGATAAGATCCGGCAAACCCAGATGCTAAAGCCAGACCTCTTCGTCGTGCAGCACCAGCAGCCATGTGCGTGGAGCTGCCACTTGAGAGCCAGGCCCAGACAGCTGCTCTCCCTCGTACGGGGGAGAAACCAAGATGACAAGATCGAGGTTCCCCTCGAGGTGAAGGAGGCCATCCTCAAGTCACTGAGGGGCGGCGGCGGCCAGCGGAGCAACGGGACGGCGGCGATAGGGCGACATGCCTTCGCACCTGGCAACGATATCACATGGGCGTGCCGCGACGGCGTCGACGTCGTCACCACCATCGATGCTATCCTTGTGTGGTACATCGCCACCACCCTCTTCGACATGAAATGGCGCCGCTCCGATTCTGCTGGTGGTACTCCTCCTTCTCCCTCGACGCCGCCGGTGGCCAACGACGACAGCAAGAAGAAGATCGTCGTCGCCTGTTGCTTGTCGCGCTACTGCATGTACCTGGTGGCTGAGGCTCCGGAACTGCTGCCGGACAAGCCTGACTGGATCAAACGCCGCTACGAGGCAGTGAAGAAGCGTATCGAGGAGGCACCCAAGTGCAGCGGTGATGAGTCGTCCGTGTACCAACACCTGCTCGACACTTTCAGCGAAAACTCCAACGAGGTGCTCATCAATGGCGCGAAGCTTGCAAAGCAGCTGGCGGAGGAAGCTGAAGACGAGGTGTGGGAGCTCCTCTCCGACTTCTGGTCGGAGATGCTGCTCTACCTCGCGCCTTCCGACAATGTCAAGGTCCATATCGAGGCCCTGCAGCGTGGCGGCGAGCTCATCACGCTCCTGTGGGCGCTGCTGCTGCACGCCTGCATCACCAGCAGGCCGGTGGAGAACAATTTCACTGCATGATGTGTGCTGCTATCGACAGGAGATCCAGACGCCTTTGCACACCACTAGCCAAACACTATGTATCCACGTTCTGCGCGCGCAAAATGTGTCTGGCTAGATATGAAAAATGTGATGTTTTTTTTTTGTGAGACCTGCATAATATTACACTGGTTTTCTAGTTGCTAGTAATGTTGTATTCAATTTGTACACCTGGCAAATAATCTTGTATTCAATTTACAGCTTCAAAAATGCTGCCTAGTCTTGTTAGACGAAGGAAAACAGAAGAAGAATTACAGCCACCAAGGAACTCCTTGATCTTTCATTCTCTTTTTTGAGTATTTTATTTTATTCTTGTTTTGTGTTTATACACTGATGAATACAAATGAATGTTTCTTTTATTCTTCTGTGTTTATATATATGCTGGGAAAACATGATCCTAAATTTAATCATGCATGTGCATTTAGTCAAATGAGTAAACAAATGCTGGCACAATTGGAGCACATCTACTTCTGGGACAGAGATACTGACTATCGGGTTGGACTCTTAGAGATGTCAATGTGTTGGCCTAGGCCCTCATATTGGGTCGGGCCACCATGTCGTCAGCCTCACCAAAAAGCCAAATTAGAAAAAGAAAAAAAATACTACTGCCGTGTGTGCGTAAACCAACAGCTGTGCGCAGACGTGGGACGTCAGCAGCCACGGCTGCAACCGCAAAGCATGACCGTTGAACCTACTACCCAAGCATTTATCTTTTTCTATCAGTTTTGCGAACTACATATGTATGTGTTTATAAAAACGTATGTGCATTTCAACTAATAGTCATCGTTAGAAAACTTGGTCATCATCGTTGGTCTTCACTTCACGTTCTCCATGCAGGTGGTGTTGGTGTAGGTGTTGATGGCGTCGGTGTGATCCATTGCCTCATGATCCATGGGTCGGTGTAGCGTAGCTAGAACATTAGCTAAGCCCGCCTCGTCGGTATCGAATGACGCGTGTGGTTATAGTAGTTGAAGAGCATGCATGAAAAAGACGTGTACCTGAACCGTCTGGAACATCCTCAGAAGTCTCATCGAGGTAGAACTCGTTGCTGAAGAAGGACTCGTTAGCCCATAGCTTGGTGTAGCTACGAACACATGGTGGATATGTGCCTATGTGTGATGAGTGATTGTCAAGAGATGGTCGATATTTGGTTTAGTGTTGAGACTAACCATTGCATGAATTATGGTGTGTGCAACATGTCTCCTGTCTTGTGATGTGCAGGTGTTGAGCGTTGAGACGGTCGACGGAAATAGAGAAGGTCAAGCGAGTCTGTACCGATGGACTAGGAGCGGTGAAGGATGGACATGGAGGCTTGGACCGAGGGACCAAGAGTCAAAGGACGGATTGTGGGTGGCTAGCACTTGGCGACATCGACAAGCAAGTGTACATGCGGAGACGACGTAGACGGTGTTGACCATATCAATACAGTGGTTGACCAAGTCAAGCGGTTGTGCAAGAACTTGGTGATCAGGCGGTTAAAACGAGTGGTGACACGCATCGAGATCATGGAGGAAGCGTAGCGGATACGCGACTCCAACTAATTTTGGCGGTTTAAACCTCAAAACCATGGGCAGCAGGTTTGCTGGGTTTGGGCCACAAAACCACGAGGAGGATCTCAGGGTGACACATGGCATCATCGGAGAGTTTGCGTTGAGGAGAAGCTTCTTCATGAAGGTCTTCTAGACTTCCGGTGCTCAGAACTCAACTTGCACCATTATGCCCCTGGGATTATATGGTTCAGAGAAAATATCTAAGGTCATCTTGGAATGTATAATAACCCTGTAAATAAGAGTAGTGAATGCCCAAGACAGCCATCTCTCCCACCCCAAGTCATTTCCTTAGCCCAGCCAATAAGTGTTTCATGTTTAGAGGAGATTAGAAGTAGAGAGCGGGAGCACCTCTTGCTCTAGTTTTCTAGATCTAGGAGGATGAAGGGAGGAGGCGAGACGTAATCTTGTAAAGAAGAGATTTCATTGTTATCTAAATATTTTGTCTTCTGAAATCTCGAGTTCATCCTTTCCCTTCTCCAGTTTTTCCTTTTTCGATGATTTTCAAAGTCATTTTGTGGAGTTTTTTTTGTGTTGCACCTTGGGCTAAGTGTTTGGCATTTAGTTTTGCTAATTAAGTATTCTGTAATAGTAGGCAAACATAGAACCAGACATGTCTAGGCATATCAAAATTACTGCCGAGCCCACAGCACAGGACAACTACTACACCGTACCATTGGTAGTCACCAAGGCTACAATTTTCATAAGCCCAACATAAAATGTAGCATTGAATTAAGTTTTCTAGATTTAAATATAAATGAGACTAGATAGCTTGGTCTGGAGTGTAACAAAATTTATTTCATTTGTTCGCTGCAAGAAGTTACCATAGCTTAGTAAAAGTAAAGATACTGTGACTATGTGAGCTATAAGGTCAACAAATCAAGACAAGTGAAATATACAGAATATGTGCTTGAATGATTATAAACATTGATGTCATGCAGCGATTAGGGCCATTGCAAACCTCAGACTACTTTACAACTTGAAAATAAAAGACTAAAACAAATAAATGTATTTTTACAGAGTATATAGCTTTTGTCCAAATATTATTGGACTGTTACTTTCCACATCTAAGAGAACAAACAATAATAGTTAGATAAATATGACACAAGGAACAGATAGAAAATAACAGAAAGCAAGATCTATGGATGTAATTCTGTTCCGATGAATCCTCTATGTGTACGACCGGTAAATCATTAATTCCAAACATGCTAGCAACATGAAAAGATGTGAAATTTTGAATCTAGCACTGGCCATTAAGCATGCAAACAGCTTGATGGAGATGATAGGAAGAAGGCAGGATGTGATGTTTTGAACCAGAATAAGACAAGATTTTCGTAGCAATGTGGCACTCACCGGAGGTGATTTAGAATGTGATCTTTGTCGAACCTGGTTGATTCAGCAATGTCAGACCAACTAGACAGGATGTTTACCCCTATGCAAGATCTAGAAAAGAGGAGGCTTCCCCTATGCCAAGATCAGCATTGTTGGCCACATGGTCATGTCCCGCCATACTGGTATCACAACGCCCGGAGATTCTTGCCAAAAGTTTTGGAAGGATGAGATCTGACAGATCCAATTGCTGCCAATGGTAGGTCTACCTTTGCATGTATCAGCCATATGGGCTCGCAATGTTAGAGCCAAACAACTGTTTTACATCGAACAAGGGTGAGGGAGGCCATGCTCCGCGTTTCAAGAACAACCCAGGGAAAGAAGACTGGTGAGATATGGAATGGAAAAGTTGGAAAAAGGGGTACTAATAAAAGTGAAAGGCGAGGCTTATAGCTAAGAAATTGACTTAACAACATGACCCCTTACTCAGTAAGGACTTGATCAAGGTTCCCCATAGGGTGAGGGAGTCCATCCTCAAGTCCTTCCGGCGTAGCGGTTGCTAGCTGAGCGACGATATGTCACACTGCCACCATGGTTTTGCTCGTGACAATGACATCACATGTGCGTGATGTGACAGCGGCAGTGCGCTCACCACCACCGATATGCTATCGTTGTGTGGTAAATCACGCAATGACCCTCTTTGACAACAAGTGCTCATCTTCCTCATCCATTTCCACCCCAAGGGATTCTGATCCTCCTTCTCACTCGGCGCCGTCGCTGGTCGTCAACAGCATCAGGGTCGTCGCCTGTAGCTTGTCGCGCTACTCTGCGTACCTGATGGCCGAGGCTCTAGACCACATGATTTTGTTCAGCATGCCATTGATAATAAGAAGGGACAACAGCCAATCAACTTGACTTTGTCAATATCCACAAGCAAATATGCATGATCTTGAAAATTTCGACAGCAACCATCAAGTTTGCTACAAGTGCGTGTCCATCCTTCTATCTATCATTCTTAGCTTGCCTCATATAATACATGTGCTATGTTATTTGTGCTTTTGCCCACGATATGAATCTGAACCATCTCTATTTTGTATTAGTAAGCTAAGTTGAGGGAAAAGGTCATATGTTTATCAACTTCTATTATGTTATATTTACACTTATGCACTGTGAAACATTATTTTTCTCGAATACGCAAGAGCGTTGCGTATCTTTGTATTAAGGAGAAAATAGAGTTTTGTACAAGTGACCGGCATCTGGCTGCTAGCCCTGAGGGCTACAGGTTTGGAATACAACTCTTTGAGAACTCGGTGAGCAGCGGACTACCCCCCCCCCCCCCCCCCGACGCTAAACTCCCTAGATCCTTGGCCCCCGCATGAACCCACTGGTCGGCCTGAGCCCTAATGACCACCAGTAGATCGTTTACCGTGGACGAGGCCTCTCTAAAACAGTGAGCGTTCCACTCCTTCCATATTCCCCAGGAAACGAGGCCGAATAGGGAGTCGAGACCCTTCTTGTGCTGCTGATTCCAAGTTGCTCGTAGTCGTCTCCACCAAGCATAGACTGACTGCTCCATCGGCGGTAATGGGTGTCTTAGAGCTTGATAGATGCGGAACCAAACTTCTCTTGAGAAGATGCAGCAGCACAGAATATGATCAATTGTCTTCGCCGCCTGGTCGCAGAGGTAACACTCCTCTCTCGCCTTGAGCCCATGTCTTGCCCGGCGATCGTTTGTCCAATGACGCCTCCGGAACGCGAGCCACATGAAGATTTTAACTCGCAGTGGCGCCCATGTCTTCCAGATCAGGGCGTGGCCTCGGAACGGGAGAGAACCTGTGTGTAGCTTAGCGTAGGCTGACTTGGTGCTGTAGGTCCCATCTGGCGTCCATCGCCACATGGTCCTGTCAGGTTGGTATGCTCCGCTGCCTCCCAGAGGTTGAGGTACTCGGCGAGCGCCGTCGCAGTCATGGTGCCCGAGAATGAACACGTCCATTCTCTGGCTGATAGCCCCTGGCGCACGGTGTTGTATTTTTCATTATGTGATATTTACCCTCGTGCTTTTCTATGTTGTAAACCAATGCGCAAATGCAATGTAATTGTCCATGA